CAATAAAATTATAAGAACAGAGGATCTGGGAGGTCAGTCTATGATCAAAACAATTACAATGTGAAAGAAGGTAAACACAGAGGAACAGAGATCCAGGCGGTGAAAAGATCAGGTAGATTACAGGATAAAATAGACTGTCTTAAATAGAGGGAAGAGTTAATGGAAAATAAGGTAACCACAACAGTGGGGCTTTAGTTCAGGTGTTGGAGAGGGCAATACAAGAAGGGTGAGGAGCCGGAAGAACAAGATAGATAGGAGAACACTGAGACAGGTTTGCACGGCCTAAGTGGGACAGAGGTAAATCGTGATGCATGTTCAACCTTGTAACAACAGGGCTCTGTGATACAGGGATCTAGGCATAGTTTGAAGATGGGAAATAATACTAAAATGCTTGACTGTCTTATGAATATTAGTTTCCCTTGCCTACTATTGTAAAATAGACACTTGAATGGGATAGAAAGGAATGTTGGGAAACAAGATTACAAATACTTGTAAGCCCGTCTTCAGCCTACAACTGACTAGAATACCTAAAACAGGTGCTAGAACTTGCCCAGTGAAATAGGCCTCTTGCAAAGCCTTTGCAGAGTATAGGACCTTAGATGGAATCCTGAGTCCCATCCAGTACCTTTTGAGGCGGGACATTCCCACTAGCAAGGAAAAGCAGACCAGCCTGGAGCAACTAGAGCAACAGAAGATACAACTTCAAAGAAAGATCATCAGGAAAACCCAAAACAAAAATGTCAGCATGACTGGTTTCTACAAGAATAAACAAGCTGTTCGCCAGGAAGACATCAAGGCAAGCAATCAAGTTCCTTCAGGACAAACTCCCCTCTAAGACTGAAACTCAAAGGGAACAAATATGCAGCTATGTAAGCTTGCTGGTGACCACACTGGTCTACTGGTGAGTAGAAGGGAAAAGGCAGCAACAAAGAAATGGGCTGAGTTCAACCGCAGTCCATTGACTCCCATTAACCTGGAGATGAGAGAGAGAAAAAGGGCTGGTTGGTCACTTGACACCATGGACAAGGACATAGCCACAGAGGGCTAGAGCTGACCTTGAAGCATCCAACTGATATGAAGTGAGAAGAGATGTACAAGAACTCCCAAACTTGCAGACAATACCCATTTGACCTAGCCTCAATGGCTTGATACCACCACTCATCTGTCAGTGTGTCGGACTGTGGTGGCTAGTGAATTGTTGTTATTCTGAAAACTATGCCACCAGTATTTTAAATACCAGCAGGGTCACCCATGGTGGACAGGTTTCAGATGAGCTCTGGACAAAGGTAGACTAGGAAGAAGGAATGACGAACTACTTCTGAATATTTAGTCACTGAAAACCTTATGAATAGCAGAGAAACACTGTCAGATATACTGCCAGAAAATGAGCCCATCAGGTTGGAAGGCACTCAAAATGCAACTGGGGAACAACATTGCGAAGTATGAGTATTCCAGAACACTTAATTGTGCTCATGAGAACTCTGTACCTGGACCAAGAGGCAGTTCTTCAAACAGAACA